TACAAGGTAGTGTGGCTCCCAATCATCTGTAATTCTAGTCCTAAAGGATTCAACATCCTCTTCCACCTACCACAGGCACAAGGCTCGCATGTTGTGTACAGGCAAAACACTTACAAAAATAAAATAAGATAATTTTTTAAAACTCTCCCCTTTGGGTAAGAAAGAAAATGTTGTCTATGTCAGGTGACTTGATAACACAAAGATCCCAGGCAGCTAGAGCCCACTGTGGCTGTTCTCAAGTCTAGTGAGCCTTTATTCTAATAGGCTTTGTGTAACCCAAGGTCTGTGCTTGCCTTGTAAAACTGACTCAGTGTTTGTTTCCAAACTGCCAAGGTCTAGGGTATTGGGAGTTCTTAGAATTGTGGGTGGAAAATGAACAAATAGAAAAGTTGCTTAGAAAGAGGAGGGGGAAGGAGGGAGAGGGGGAGGAGGGGAAAGAGAAGGACTCTTTTATTAGAACTAATTTTTTACACACTATTTTTATGTTGTTCTTCTCCTTTTTCCTATAATTTTAAAGCTCATTTCTTAGCAGCCATCTTGGGGGAAAACAGTGTATATCTTAGATTTATCATAATCTAGTTTGAACGATGCCAAATTCATTCATTAAGATGGAACACTATTTGTATGTTTATCTCTTCCTTGTCAACATCATTATTATCACAGATTATTACTTTGTTACATATTGTGTGTCCATGATACAGACAGACAGACAGACTCTATAGAGATATAATCAATGTGTTTGTCTGTTAAATCATATGGGAAAAAGAGAAAGAAGCTTCAAACCAAAGACAAGGATGCTGGGTTTTATTTTATCTGAGTAGTGGCCTTAACTGGTAGTTCTTATTTCTTCCTAGGGCTTCAACTTGCTGCCCACTGTCTCTTCACTTTAACCTAAGAAATTCCCTTTGGCACTTTTTATAGAGTCAGTCTATTTGCTGTGACCCCTCAGCTTTTACTTGTAATTTCACCTTCATTTTTTAAGGATCACTTTTCCAGATAGAGAATTCTCAGCTCCTTGCTTATTTTTTTGTTTTTTGATTCTTTTTTTTTCTTTCGGGACCTCATGCTGCCCCACTGGTTTTCAACCTCTGTGGCTCTAAGAGTGGTCAGCTGTTGATTTTACTGAGATGTGTTTACTTTCAGAATTCTGTGTGGTTTCCTCCTCTTCACCGCACTGTGCGCCTGTACATCTCCTACATGTGTCTCTGGGACTCATGGTGCCTCCTGGGTGTGTGTGCTCATGTTAGCAGCTCTGGAAAGCTTGCAGCTGTTGTCTGTTCAAACACTTTTCCTCCTCCCCTTTTCTGAAGAGCGCAATGAGTAGGCCGATGTGATTAACAGTCTCCAGCACACCTTCCATTTTCTCTGATTCCACTGCTTGAATGCTGTAGGACATGGCATCTCACTTGCTGGACTGTGCAGCTCCTTTCTTTGGTCACTTACAGCTCTTTGTTGGTGTTTTCAGTTTTCACTAGCTGTGTTCCTGATTTCTTAGTTCTTTATCCAGGTTTCTTAGCACACTGGATATATTTAACAGTTAGTTTAGCATCTTTGACCAATAATGCCAGTGTCTGGGATTTCTTGAGAATGGCTTCTACCAATTATTCTGACCCATGAGTGAGCCATATTCTCTTGCATGTTTGTTCATTTTGTGTTTCTTTTTTTCAGTTTTATGTATTTTTATTTACCTTATATAAAACATAAGAAATTATCAATAGTGGCATCTTAATGATTTTTTTATTCTTTGTGAGTTTCCCATCCAATCCATCTCCCCATCCCTTCATATCAGCCCTCCTCCCTTGCAAGCTCCCCACCCCAAACAAAACAAAATTCAAAAGTGAAGCAGAAGAAAAAAAAAAACAACAACAACAACCAGACTAACATACACACAGACACACACACACACACACACACACACACACACACACACACACACAAAGTCAGTGTGGAAGCTGTAGTGTGACAGGGTCATACAATTTACCCTTTAGTCCATACACATTTACTTGTAAGTGATCATTGCAATGAGTCTGGTTCATGCAGTTGGTCTGGTTCTGGGCCTGGATGGTAGCTAGGTTGCCCCGTGTGCCAGCTGTTCCTCCTCAACACCAATAGGGCAAGCTCTCCAGCATTGTCCCCAGGTAGTTCTCCTACTGAAGCAGGCTATAAGAAGTGAGGCCATTCTACTGCTCTGATGCTGACCACTCTCAAAGCCATAGAGGTTGAAAACCAGTTCACCTGCACCCACACCACCATGGCCGGCTCTACTGATTTGCCCAGGTGAGGTGCAGGGTCCGCTCTCCTGAGTGATACAGTTGGTGAGGAGCAGGACCAACTCTTCTGTTCTCATGTCCCCAAGAGGTCAGCTCTCCTGCCTGTTGTAGGTGGCAAGGGAGGGGAGGGCACCTTTCCCTCCCTCATGCTTATGGTGATATTTTGTTTATGATCTAACAACTGAAACTTTGCCTCAAACTCTTGAGTACAGAGCTAGCCACACTAGTCATACAGGCCAGGCAGTGGCAGCACACACCTTTAGTACCAGTAGCTACATATGTTAGCCATAGAAGCTGGGCAGTGGTGGTGCACGCTTTTAATCCCAGCACTGGAGAGTAATGTAAGGTGGGTGGAGACAGGAGTGCAGGGTATTCAGTCTGCAGTCACACAGAGGACGGGATCGCCCCAGCCTTGGTAGAGGTAAGAACTCTCTAACGGTTGGTGCTTTGCTTTCCTGATCCTCATCTTGAACCCCAGTATCTGCCTCTGGGTTTTTGCCTCTGGGTTTTTACTATTCTTGCTACACATGCTACCACATGGCAGATGAGGCTCTCCTGCTCTCACACCCTCAGAGCCAGATCACCCGCATCCCTGCCAACAGGGGCAGTTCTATTGTGCTGCCCAGGCAAGATGCAGGACCGCTTTCCCAAGTGCTGCTGTGGTGATATCTCGCTTGTACAAATAAAGCCTGTCTGAAGGTCAGAGAATGGAGCTTGCCACCAGCTAACCACAGAGGTCTGAGGTCTGTACAGATAGACAGGAAGTGAGGTAGCTGGGTGGAAACAGGATATAAGCAGGGAGAAACAGGAACTCGCTCTCTTGTCTGCTGAGGCTCAAAGGAGGTAAGGCTTGTTCCTTCTTCTGCTCTCTCAGCATTTTCCTCTGTATCTGACTCTGGGCTTTTATTATCTAGACCAATTAAGAACTCCGTTTGCACCTCACTACACTCTTCAGATCTGCCTCTTTCCCCAGCATATACGCCCTTCTGTCTCTCTCTCTCCCACTTCCCCACCATGTACTCACTCACCACAATGGTGCAGGACCACCGAGCAACATGGGTGCCAGTTGGGCTTGGGGTTGATCTCTACCTGCCCTGGGTGAGAATCTTGAGGAGGAGCACCTGGGCCTCATGGCGTCAGGTGGGGGTTGGGAGGCTGCCATTTTGAGCATTGTGACATGGCTCTCAATGGCTGGCTCTAGAGTTTTTTGTTGAGGGAGCCATCATTTTTTAAAACCATTTTTGAAATGCCTCTCTTCATTTTGTATGGTCACTAGAGCTTCTTTTCTACTATCTAGTGGCCTGACAAAGGTTTCCACAAATGTGGGCCTTCCGAACTAGACTGGGTGAAAGGTAAAACGCCCCATGATTTTTTTTAAAGGTTTTTGTTTGAAGATTTATTCTTGTTTCTGTTTGTGTGTGTATGTTCCTGTGGAGATCAGAGGAGGCATTAGATCCCCCGGAGCTGGAGTTACAGGGAGTTGGGAACAACCTGACATGGGCGCTGGGAACCAAACTCAGGTCCTCTGCAGGAGCGGCATGTACTCAACCTCGGAGCCATCCTCCAGTCTGGCCATTTGCTGTTGTTTGGCTTTGTTTTGTTGTGTTGTGTTTTCCTTTGTTTTAAGCACGTGTTTTTCCCAGTATTGCTTTGATGGAGACCCTCACTTTTCTCATGATACCTCACAGGGGAGTAACAGCTCAGAGATTTGGGGGTTTTTTGTTTTGTTTTAAACCAGCCATCTTTAAACTGCTTATATGATTTAAATTCTCTTTAGAAGACAGGGAAAAAAACAACAAATCTATAAATGTGATCTAAAAAAAAAAAAGGAAGAGTCTAGGTTGAGGCTCAGAACTGGCAGACTAAAGTGATATCACTGAATGAGATGCACCTTTTATTTTTGCATGTGTCTGTATATGCGGTGTGTGTACGCATGTTCTCACATGTGGGGTACACACATAGCACAGACAAGAGGTTGCTGTCACATGTGTTCCTCAATCACTGTCTCTCACCAGAGCCGAAAGCTTGGCAACTTGGCTAGTCTATTGGCCATCTTGTTCCAGAGAGCCTCTGTCTCCACTTTCCAGTGCTAGGACCACATGGCCACCGTGACCTCTGGGAATGGGTTTCGTCTGAGGCTGAGATTCCAACTCTGGTCCTCATACTTGTATGGCAAGCACTTGACCCTCCTAATCATTCCCCTTTCCAAAAGGCACATCTTTTAAGGCATCAGTGAGAAATCTCATTCTCAGGACCAAAGAATATTTTGATCAGTAGAAACCCTGAGTCTAGGACAAAGGTGGCCCCACTCCACCCTTCCTACACTTACTGACCCCTTAGCTTTCATCTGCCTGGTGGCTTGTGCAGTCCCAGCTTGTGATCCTGCTTGAATATTTAACTTGCATTTCATTTAACTTCTGTGGAGACTTATGATCTTTGCTCTATCATACTTAAGTATTGTAATTATGCTGAAGAAGAAGGAAGCAAAGAAGGGAGAATGCAAGGTGTATGTGTACTCATGCCATAGGGCTGGTGGTGGTTTGACTGGGATTGGCCCCGAAAGCCTCATATGTTTGAATTTTCCCCCAGTTAGTGGAACTATTTAGGAAGGATTAGGAGGTGTGGCCTTGTTGAAGAAGGTGTGTCAATGGAGTCTAGCTTTAAGGCTTTAAAAGACTCAGGTCATCCCCAGTGTGTTCTCTCTTGTTTCTGTTTCCAGATCAGATTGTAAGCTCTCAGAAATTGTTCCAGTACCATGCCTGCCTGCTGAAGTGTTCCCCACCATGGCAGTGATGGACCCCTATTGCTTAATAATTGTAAGTGCCAAATTTGCTGTCCCTTCTTTAAGTTGCCTTGGTCATGGTGCTTTATCACAGCAGAAAAAAAGTAACTAAGACAGAAATTGGTATCAGAAGGGGGAATAATGCTGAGAAGAACCTGACCATGATGCATTGAGAGTAGAAAACCAGTTGAGTGCTCTAAGCAGAGTTTAATGGTAGTTTCTAGTAGAAGCTTGGAAGACAGTAGGGCTAGGAGCTATGTGGACGATGGAGGTTTCAGAGGAAAACAATATTAACAACTGGGTTAGAGACCATTCTTGTGATACCTGACAAAGAATGTAGCTACCTTCTGCCCCGTCCTAGGAATCTGATCAATGCTAAATTGAAAAGAAATGAACTAATTTCTTTATCAGAACTTGCAAGACAACCTAATATTAAGTCTGCCATGTACACAATAGTAATCATTCTTAAGCAGGTCTACAATTAAAACAAAGGGAGTTTGAGCCAGGCATGGTGGCCCATGCCTTTAATCCCAGCACTGACAGGGATTAAACAAAACTTGTTCTCTCATCGGTCTGGAGCCAGAAGTTCAAAACCATGGTGAGGGCAGAGCCACACTCCCTCTAAAGACACAATCCCTTCTGTGCCTCTTTAGCTTCTGGTAATTCCCAGACTGTCTAGCCTGTGGCAGCATCACCCTACCCTGCTTCCATTTTCACACAGCCTTCTTCCCTGTGTGCTTGTCTCGCCATTCAATGCCCCTATAAGGATATGAGTCATTAAACTTAGCGTAAACCCAAACACCATGACGATCTCACCGCAAGATTCTTATGTTTACTTTACAGACACTATGCAAGCCATCCATTGCCATCAGAGATCAATACTGTGTTCAGTCTTCATCAGAAGAACTTCTTATATAATGATGGCAGCTAATGCAGATACTCACCTGTAAGGAGCCAAACTCACCCCATTGGAGGTTCAGGGAGCATCAGTAAAGAGGAAGGAGAAGTATGCAAGAGCCAGGGGCTGGGTCAATGTGCAGGGAAAGAGACGTCCTCTGGACATAACACTGTCACTGCACTTGTAACTCACTGCAGCTGTGGTTGCTTGCAAACGACTGCACTGAATTGGACCTGCTAATATCTCATCCCAAATAGGAGAGGGAGCCATGAGACTCCCACCCTGTCCGGGGCAGGTATGGGCTGCTGGTGGAGAAGGCTTCACTTCCTTCAGAGGTATGTCTGCCAATAAGTTGTCACATCCTGGTATAACCCCCACACACACAATGATTGTACAAGCAACTCTAATTACACCCAGTGGGTTACACACAAAAAGAAGACATGAAAGGGGGGGTTGCTGAAAAGAAAACGGGTTTCAGTGGGAGAGGAGAGAGAGGAGAGAAGGTAATAGGAGTGAAAATAACTAAGATTAATTATATACGTATATGAAGCTCAAAGAATATTTTTTAAGAAAGAAAACTTTTTATATTTGTTCCTTCTTATATGCAGGGGATACAGTCTGTATGGTCAGGCTTTTCTAGAGGAACAGAACTACACGTTACAAAGGGGATTTATTAGATTGGCCTACATGATACCGACTGGGTAATCTAACAATGGTTGTCTGTACTTGGGAGAGACTCAGAACTCATTAGGTGCCCAGTTCCACAAGGCTGGATGCTGCGGCAGTCCCGGTTTAGTGCTGAAGTCCTTGAGACCCACTGGTCTTCAGTGCACACTGGTCGGCTGAAGAAGCTGCATTCTGACATATCAGTAAAGGACAGCAGTGGCTTCAGGAGCAAAAGACTCACACCTTGTATCTGGGCCACTGCTAAAAGGAGCCATCTACTCTGAGGGAGGGTCTTTCCTCCTCACGTAATCCTCCCAGGAAATACCCTTACAGACCCACCCTGGATCTTATCACTTAGTTATTACTGACTCAATTAGGTTGACGACCAAGATTAACCATCATGATGTCCCAGATGCCCAGCAGTGCCTAGAATTACAGATGCACCAAACCCAATGCCAATCATGTGTTTGTTTGCACATACATATTAAGATAAAGTTAAATTCTATTTTGGATACACTAAGAGGTTCATAATAATAATGAAATGGAATATTTATATAAATTATGTTAATGTAGCCCCTTTTCAATGTTTATTATTATACAGCTACAAAAAAAGGAACAAATACATAGCTATCATGGTGTGGCATAATATAAACATATATTTGTTCTGACTGTGGTTCCCAAACCACAGCTCGTAAAACCCTCAGATTTCCTGAGTGAATGCATTCAGCTGCTCACAATGAACCTCTTACAGTCACATCTGAGTTGTATCAGTAAGGTGACTTATGGTGGGTCCCCTTGATAGCTTCAAGCTGGGGTCACTCATCAGAAAAACCAGATGATCTGATAGTTGGGAAGTGAGCTCTACCTACCTCCAGGAAGTGGGTGGAGACTAAAGTTTAAGCTCTGTAAAATCTGTTGAGCCTTGTAGCTCCAGAACTTCCAGGTGGTAAACACTTCTAGGTGAGCATGGACTAGAAGAGGAAAACACTGTATCTGTCCCTGCACACTTTATCCACCACTTCCTAAGGTATACCTTCTATAAGAGACCAGGAAGTTCCTGAGTTCTCTGGGCTTCTCTAGCCAATTACAAAGAATGGGTTGGGGGACAGCTGTGAGAATGCCTGACTCCCAGCCAGGTAGCAAGAAAAATGGTAGCTTGAGACATGTAACTAGTACCTGGAGTGGGGGTCCCTGCTGTGGGCTGAGACTTTAACATGTGAGGTCTACACTAACTCCAGGCAGTTTTAGGAGGTAATTAATCTTTGGGTATCCAAAGTTGGTGTTGGAGGATTAGAGAACTGTTTTGTGTCACAGCAAACATGGCACAAAGGTTAAGGCATGTCCTTCCAATCCATACAGGGGAAAGGAAAGGGAAGGAGAAATCTTTACTTCCCTACAAAATCTCATAGAATTAAGCTCATAATAATTGTACCAGTGGTCTGGTGCCCATGGAATCAACCTAAGAAAACATCTCACAGAGAAGACAAAGGAAGCCTTTAAGGGAGACTTCTTTCGCCTCTGGCTAGAGATGATGTTTAACAAACTTTGTTATTGGGTATAGAGGCTTGAATAAGAGTGGTCTCCAAAGGCTCATATATTTAAAGGCTTAGTCATTAAGAATGGCATTATTTTAGAAGGATTAGAAGGATTAGTAGGCGTGGCCTTGTTGGAGGAAGTGTGTCACTGAGCGTGGCATGTAGGCTGCAGTTCTGGAACCTCATTTGAGAAAATGCCTCCATAAGACTGACTGTAGGGAAATTAAGATGGTGCTGGCAGCCATGGCAACCTAAGTATCATTCATGGGCTCTCAGCTGGGCTACCTGACTGTAACCTTGATCTCTCCTAAGAGCAAGCATTTCAGCCTCTCTCCTCCACCCCATGAGAAGGAACTAAAGAGAGGACTGCTGTGAAGAGAGGAGTCTACCAGGATCAGTGAGAGGGTGGCTTTTGTGCCTGGCAGGCACCATGACTGGGCTCATCAAGAAACAGATCCTGCATCCTGGGAAGCACAAAGATAACCTGCAGCAGGCAGGAGAGCTGACCTTCGGGAGGGGGCATGAGAGTGGGAGAGCTGGTGTTGCCTGCCCCTCGTGAGCTGCAGTACTCTGGAGAGCAGGCCCTGTACCTAGCAGCACAGTAGAGCTGGCATCGATGGCATGGGTGTAGGTGAACAGGCCCAAGGGCATGAGAGCAGGAGAAATGGCCCTGACCATTGCTGCCTGCAGCATTGGGTGAACTAGTCCAGATAGTGCTGGAGAGCTCATCCTGGTGGTGTAGACACAGGAGAGCTTGCAGGCTGACCAATCAGCTACCACCCAGGTCCAGATCCAGGGCTATGAGTTGACCCACCCTAACATCCGTCCCATTTAGAAACTGCTGGAGCATGTGAAGGGGCAGGTTTGGCAGATCCAAAACTGCAGGATTTCCACAACATATTGAAGCAACAGGATATTCAAGAGCAGTCCCAATGAAGACCCAGTGTTGTGGTGTAGCAGAAGCCAGATGCCTCAAACCTGACCAATGACTCATTGCAATGAACACTTGCAAGTAAAGATGTATGGATGGTCTAAAGGGTATACTGTGTCTCATTGTGATGCAGTATGGCTTTCACGATGAGATTCTTGCTGTTGTTGTTGTCTTTATTTTATTTTGGGGGTAGCTTGCAAGGGTAGAGAGCAGATATGAAGGGAGGGGGAGACATGTGGGATTAGGGTGCAAGATGTGAAATTTTTGTCTTGTTTTTTTAAAATCTAGCTGTAGGACATTTCCTTTTCCTTCCTTCCTTCCTTCCTTTCATTCTTTCTGTTTGTTTTTTTAGAGAGGGATTCTGTGTGTAGTCCTGACTGCCCTGGAACTCACTACATAGACCAGACTGGCCTTGAACTCCCAGAGATCCACTTGTCTCTGTCTCCCAAGTGCTGGTATTAAAGGCATGCACCACCACTACTAAGCTCATTTTCTTAATTAGTGATTGATGGAGGAGGGCCCAATCTTTTTGTGGGTGGTGCCCTCCCTGGGCTGGTGGTCCTGGGTTCTATAAGAAAGCATGCTGAGCAAGCCAGGACAAGCAAGCCAGTGAGCAGCACCCTCCGAGGCCTCTGCATCAGCTCCTGCCTCCCGGTTCCTGCCCTCACTGCTTTTGATGATGAACTGTGAGTGAATTAAACACTTTCCTCCCCAAGTTACTTTTGGTCATTGTGTTTCATTATGGCAATAGTAGCCCTCACTAAGACATTGAGAAGACTGAAGTTTCTTTCTTTGGTTCTTAGTCTCATTAACAAAAGAATTTAGAAACAAACCTAGAAGGAAGCTAGAAAATTATTTTAATTAGAGTTTGGAAGAAAACTAAAAGGGCAGCCAAGCTGTAAAACTCTGGCAGCTGCCAAGAGGGAAATAGAGGAGAAACACATCTGTGAGTCTGAGTCAGACCAGCAGATTCAGGAAAAGAACAAACAACCACATGGAGGACAGCAGGCAGCTTTGGAGAACAAGTCCAAAGTGTCAGGGAAAGCATTCTAAGGCATATGGCCAGCATATGAAGGAAAGGGAAAGATTGAAAAGGAAATTTGTGTTTTTCTAAGTTAAGACTCAGAAAAGTGGCAGCCTAAGTCACGGGCTGCATAGCTGAAGGGCTCCAGAGAAAGAGAAGCATATCTCATTAAATGCTATTTTGCCTGCCTCTTAACTTGGTTTTAGGTAAATCAGCCTTCCCCAAGTGTGTTCTCTTGGCCAGATGACTGACAAGCCTGGCTAGATTAACTCTTAAAGAAGAAAACAAAGCATACAATGTTCTAATCTTTGGAGAAAATCAAAATGTTATGTCTTGGGGATGGAAGTATGGTTCCAGTGGTTGAGGGTACGGGTTGCTCTTCCAGAAGGTCCAAGTTCAAATCCCAGCACCCACCTGGTATCCCTAAGCTAACTGTAGTCCCAGTTTCAGAGGATATGACACCCTCTGCTAGCCTTCACAGGCACCAAGCACACATGTGGCACATGCAATCAAAACACCCATACACACAAAATAAAATTAAATAAGATGCAATGGAACTTTTAATACCATGTCTCCACCCAGCACCTTTAATGGATAATTGTAATAGAACCCACAAAAGCCCAAATAAAGGGAAGTCATGTATTTGTTGGGGAATCATGAATGACAAAGCAAGGAAGAGAACCACCAAGGTCTTCTGACCTTAGGCGCTGGAAGCTGCCATCCACTCCTCAACCACCACCTAAGAGAGCAAGCTTGCTCCCAGTACACATATAGCACCTGAGACCCTGCCCCAAAGGGCCAAAGGGGCTGGTATCTCAAAGACTATTGGCTGAATGAGTTCGAAAAATTCCCCCTTTTGTCTAAATAAGAGGGTTCTAAACCTAGTACAAAACTATATGCAACAAGAATATCAAGTATTTTCCAGGAGAAAGAAAGAGTAAAAAACATACACCAAATTAGAACTACAACCAATAAATACATCATCAAGCAAGAAGCACACACTAAATGTTCAAGTTAAAGGCAAATAAAGAGATTATTCCCAATAACTGTCCTATCCTGAGGAGTCTGAGTCTTGTTCCTAAAATGTCTTAGCTAAGATATGAGAGGATAGTAGCTGAGACTGTCTGGTCTTCAACCCCATCAAAGACCTGAGAAGGAAAAGAATACTGCCTGAGTAAGTGGGAAGCGCAAGTGTGTGACTTCCCAAATGTGCAAGAAATAACAGAAACAACTGGCTAACTGGACAGTCACCAAAGTCTCACAGAAACGTTGGGGCAACCAACTTTGGCTAAGGCTTAAACTATCTGACACATCATTTTCAGAACAGGAAAATTCCATTCTTTTGAGAAGGAAGAAATCATTTTCCCGGAATGGGCTCAACAGAGCCTGATATCCATTCTCCCTCCAACACCACTGTTCCCTGTCCAGCTACTAAATTTTACTTAGAAAAAAAAAACTTCAGAATTTATTCCAACCACCTATCAATCCTTTTTTTCTATTGTAAATGGTCTTTGATAGAATGGGCAAGTGTTGCCTGCTTGATTTGGAATCACCCACAAGATACACCCATAGGTACATCTGTGAGTCAGCCACAAGATACACCCATAGGTACATCTGTGAGTCAGCCACAAAACACACCCATAGGTACATCTGTGAGTCAGCTACAAGATACACCCATAGGTACATCTTTGAGTCAGCTACAAGATACACCCATAGGTACATTTGTGAGTCGACTACAAGACAGACCTATGGGTACATCAGCTATAAGACACACCTATTGGTATATCAGCTACAAGACACACCTGTGAGTACATCAGCTACAAGACACACCTGTGAGTACATCAGCTACAAGACACACCTGTGAGTACATCTGTGAGGGTTTTGCCAGAGACATAAATGAAGAGGGAAAACTGACCCTGAATTCCATGGGCTGTGATTCTGCAGTGAATACAAGGGCAAAAAGAGAAAACCAGCTGGGCGCTGCCATTTACTCTCTCTGCTCCCTGGTCATCTCCATGAACCCAACTGCCCCACCAGCACCAGTGTTTGTCATGATGGATAACATTCCTTTGATCTGTGAACCAACATAAACTTCCTTTTCCGTTGCTTTGGTCACAGCAATGAAAAACACTAATGAGAAGTTTAGTACCGAGAAGTGGGGTGGTTGTGAGAAAGTTGGCCATGTGGTTCTCAAGCCTTCTGAAATGGTTTTCAGGAAGCATTTGAAAGTTGTGAGCTACTTAGGGTCTTGCTGTAAACAGAGCTCAATGGGTCATTCTGGCTAGAGTTCAAAACCCAAGGATGCCAACAGAGATGTAGCCAGTAAAACTGGGCTCATGAGCTTTCAAGGGTGAGTGAGGATGCTTTGGGGATCTAGACTAGAGCCCATTCATGTTGTATTCTAGCAGGGAATGTGGCCGCATCTGTCCATATCATGAGGACCAGAGTGAGAATAGACTTCAGATAATAAGCCAAGCTGTTTGTCAGAGGAAATCTCAAAACAAAATAAAAGCCAGGCTATACATGACTACAGCTCACTGTATTTACTGAGGTTGACAAAGAATTCAAAGCAGAAAGATATGGAAAGTACAATGGGCAAAACGGGGAGTGTGCCTGAGATCAACGCTGCTGACAAGCATATGCAACTCTTAAAGAGTTCAGCAGAAACCTAATAAAGAGAAAACCTCAAAACTGAACCAAAGGAAAGGTGCGCTAAGGGCGAGACCCCACCCATCAAAGGTTCTATCTTATAAAAACTCAAAATGAAGCTCCCTTATTATTAATGACTTCGAGAGTGCTATGCTCCTCCAGGACACTCAGAAAAACCCATTCCAGTCTCTCTCTGGAGTCTCTGCTCAATAAATTTCTGCTTAAAATAACAACAACAAAAAAAAAAACCCACCTCAACTGGACATGATTGTGCATACTGAAAACCCCAATACTCAGGAGCTGATCAGGGGATCTTGTGATTACAGTGAGTTCCAGCTTAGCCTGCGCTGTGGGAGATCCTGTCCCAAAAAAACCTACCTAAGAAAGAAGTGGTTTCCCAAGTTCAGCCACCCAAAGCACAGGGCTGCTACAACTACAATAGGATGGGTCCAGACAACACTCCTGGATGGTAGCAGAAGATGGAATGGCACTCCCATGGTACTGGTCCTGAAGGCATGCATTGTGGGATTATAGAACTGCACTGTAATGGGGATAATAAACCTTCACTGAACACACTTAGAGATCAACTGAGGAAAAGCTCTTTACTAGCGCTTGTCCAGCTGGAGCTAATGACCCAGGAAGAGCTGGCCGTCAGGGTAAGATTTGACTAAAGTGTGTGTGCTTTAGGCTTATGTACTTCAGTTACCCTGTCACCCTCAGTCTCACTCAGGTCCCAGCCGCAGGTTACACTCTGAACATTTAAACAGAGACAGGAGACCATAAGTCTGGCTGCTTGGGCAGATAAGAGATTTATACAGTAACGACATTGCCAGAATTATTTTAAGTATACCAGTGCTGTTATTTTTTGAATAGTTGTTACCCAGGGACATCTTGCCCACTTGGCAAAATTATGTTTCTTCTGATAAGCACAGGGCCCTTAATGGCAGAGCAGAGCCTGAACCTGCGGTGGTGACCCTGTGCTGCCCCCTTGAGCTGCGGGTTAGAGGCGTGTTCATTCAGGGCAGTGGAGTCTAATGGCTGGTCAGCCTTGGTGAATACACACTTACACGCTGGCATCCTAAATTTCCCTTGCCTCTATCAGGCCTGACTAGCACATTACTTATCTTTGCAGTGCTTGGGGGGAGCACTCCTTTAGCTCAATTCTACTGGTGTGACTAATGTCTCCTAAGAGAACCTACTAGTAAATCCATTGTAACATCAATTTTATTACTTTGGATTTCTTCTGAATGGAAGGAGAAAAGCAGAGACTGAACCAAACACCAACATTCTCCATATCCTGACTGAAGATGTAATGCTACTAGCTAGTCATACAGCTGCTGTTGTCACCTCTTCCTGCCTGTGATGGATCCACATAAACCCTTCATTCTTTGTTTTGCATCCGTCATGCATTTGTCACAGTGACAATGATAATAACTAGTACAGAATAAGGCTAGCATACAAGGGTAAACTGGTGGGCTGATGGGAGTGGGAAACTTTCAAAGAGGAGACTTCTGCACCACTCAGGACACTGTGTCCTCTTCCTGAAATGTCTTCTGCAGATTTACCTTAAATGACAGTATGCCAGTGATTCAAATTGGCCTAGGTCAGAGAGCCAACAAAAGGAATATGTTGTTATCTGTCTTGGGAGTTTTTCTGTCCTGTTAAGTCTGTCTCTGATGTTCTTTTGTCTCTGTGTTTACATTG